TTTTCTCTTAGAGATGTCTTTCCTGCCCACCTCTCAGATGGGGGTGGTGATAGGGTTTCTGTCCCAGGGTCCCCCACTACAGTGCAGGTGCCTTAGCCTGCCTGGAGCTGCAGCTACCGTGCTCTGCCGCAGTGGCCGCAGTAATCACCACAGTATCACCTCACTACCTTAGCTCTCTGCAGCTCTTTTGTGAGGACTGGGTAGTCCTAGCTTCTGCCTCGGCACACCCCACCTCCTAGTGAAACCCCAAACCTAGGCTTCTGCTCCAGGGCCTCCAAGAGGATTCGAGAGGGCTGCAGTGCTCACAACCGAGACTACGCGGAAAAAGGCTGCCTCGAGTTAGAGTGGCGGCTGGGAATGGATGTGAGAACTGCACTAAATGAACCGAATCAAGGTGTAGTAGGCTTCTAGCCCTGGTCCCGACTCAGGCGAAAGATGGAGAGCAGGCAGCTTGGTCATCTCCCTCGTCTCTAGGCAGCGTCCATCCCCACTCGAAACGCTGGTGCTCACTGTTTGCCCTCAGCACAGGTGCAGCACCGGTGTAGGGTGCTGGGTTCCCACGAGAGGGGGCCGGAAAAGGACTGGGTCACTGAGGTGCAGCGAGGGAACAAAGCAGAAGGTGTATGTGGAGTGCAAGACTGAAGTGGACTCAGGTTCCCGAGGCAGGACTCTGGACTTGTTTCCTTCTTTCTCTTCCATTCCTGAGAAATACCAGTATGAGATGAAATATCTTTTGGGATTCCAAAGTGCCTGTCAGAAGTGGGGGGTGGGCATCAGTGGAACAGGGGATTAGAGTTGGGTGAAGTCTGGATATATAGGGAATTGAGGGTTAGTATCCTTTGCCTGTTTTGGAAAGCACCTGACCTGGCAGCGCTGAGTTCTAAGGGCTGAAGCTCTAGCTTAAGCCTGGAATGTCATCACCCACTCCATCCTGCTCCACTGTCTCCCTTGCTCTGCTGAGAGCCTGGCATCAGAGGAACTTGATGTGCTGTTTGTTCAGCTCCAGCACAGGTGGTATCTCTGATAATCCGATGAACTTTTCCCACATTGGATGACGGTAGCATTGAGGAACAAAGGGGCAAAGGAAGTGCGGGGGGGGGGGGGAGAAAGATGGAAATAGATGTAGATTACATCCACTTATCCAACAAACTATGTATCCAGCTATCAGTTATGGGATTATGCACCATTTTCCCATGCAGCCAATCAGTCCCTGAAGAGTTCCCACTATAGTGGGGATTCAGCCAAATAAGCCAGAGATTGCAACACACAACCCTACATACAAACATTAAGATGCACAAATTGAAAATTTAGGAATTAGGGCTGGAGAGCTGGTTCAGTTATTAAGAGCATTTGCTACTTTTGCAGAGGACCTGGCTTGGTTCCCAGCACACATTTGATGATTCTCAACTCCAGTTCCAACAGATCCACTGCTCTCTTCTGGACTTTGTGGACACCAGGCACTTGTGTGGTATACATAAATATGTGTAGACAAAACACACATACACATAAAATAAAAAATAAAAAGGAAACCTACCTAAAACTTGTCCTTACTCCTCTATCCCTGAAATGGACCTTGTGACTCAAGTCCAGACTCCTCAAAAATAAAGGATTTATTGCCTAGAAGACAGTGCTCAAGTATCAGTCTCTTGCAGAAATTGTCAGAGCAGAGTACCAACTCGTTCAGCATCACCAACTCTTCCCAGGGTGTCATGCATCCAATAAGACTGATCACCACAAAGAAAATAGCCCTAGTTTCCTCATCCCACTGAAGGACAATCTGTTCACAACACCCGGCTCCCCCTTTGAGGCTGGCTGAGGGTTCTGTCAGGTCTGGAGTACTGTTGAGTCTCTCCCATTTACCCAGTCCTATTTTCATGCTCTCTTTCACAGGTGTTGACTTTGAGAGTACTTCTTAGTAAATATCCTTCACAGTAATCTCTGTTTTAGAGTCTGCTTCCTGGAGCATAGAGCTACATTGCTCCCACATTCAATCAATCACAAAGTCCTGCTGATTTTAGCTACTGAATAAATATGCTTATTATCAACAGTTTCTTGTGCTACAATCCCAGGCTCCCAGGACAGCTACCACACTTTTCTGGTGCCTCTCTTTATCCAATCCTCTACCTTATGGCCAGACTTCTATGTTCAGAATACCATTTGAGTTATGCCAACTTACCGATCTTTGCTTTTAGGAGAGAGGGAATCAGATAGATGAAGCCTGCGTGGCCTGGTTTCTGCTGTGGCGCTGTAGTTTTTGTTCCCTCTGCTGAACACACAATGGCCTTCCTTAAATGCCCCCTCCCACCTTTTCCTATGCATTTCCTAGTCATATGGATTTTGCATACAGTTTCTGGAAGGTCCTCTTCTCCTTTGATACCCATCTATCTGATATCATGTAGAGTAGCATTCTGAAAAGATGTTTTCCTGACTCTCTTGGAGGGTGATCTCTAATCATGTTCATCCTTGTGTAATCACCTCTAGAGTCTATTTGGACATGTGAGTACAGTGAGGTATTAGCTACATGACTACATTATGTGACTACATTACATTTTGCAGGTGGAATCAATGCCACTAGTTATTTGCTCTTAAAAACAGATTATCCAGGCATTCCTAGTCAAATCATACAGGTCCTTTAACAGCCAGGAGTTTTCCCTGGCTGGACATACAGCAGCAGAAATCGGATACTTGAAGAAGGAAGTGCATGTTGAAATAGGGTCTCAGGTAGCCCTGGCTGTCCTGGAACTCACTATGTAGCTGAGGATTACTTTGAACTCCTTATCTTCCTGCCTTCATTTCCCCAGTGCTGGAATTGCAGGACTGTACCACTGTCCTATTTTTGGTTTTGTGTTTCATTTTGTTTTTGTTTTGCCAACTTTACCATAAACTAGAATTATCTGGGAAGAGGAACTTTATTGAGAATGTGCTTCCATCAGATTGCCTGTAGGCAAATCTATCAAATATTTTCTTGCTTAATGATTAATATGGGAGGACCCAGCCTACCATGCTACCACCCCTGGGAAGGTAGTCCTGGGATGTACAAGAAAGCAGGTTAAGCAAACAGTGGGGAATCAAGCCAGTTCTTCTATGGCCTCCACTTCAGTTCTGCGTCCAGGTTTCTGCCTTGAGTTTCCGCCCTGACTTCATTTGACAATGGACTGTGATGTGGAAGTGTAAGCCAAATAAACCCGTTCCTCCTCAAGTTGCTTTTGGTCATGGTATTTTAGCATAGCAGTAGAAACCTAACTAAGACAGCTACCATGGCCAACTCAGTACACTGATTATTTTAAATATGGATTTTTAAATTTTAACTTATGTGCATCGTGTGTCTCTATGTGTATTATGCCACATGTATGTAGAGGCCTATGGAGGCTAGAAGAAGGTGTTGTGTCTCTGAGCTGGAGTTACAGGCAGTTGTGAAGTGTAGCTGCTGACAACTGAACTCTGGTGGTCTAAAAGAGCAATAAGCACTCTTAACTACTGAGCCATCTCTCCAACCCCTCAACAAACTATTGATGGCACAAAGAGAGGGAACCCTGGGAAGAAACAACAACCATTGTTACAAACTAGAGAATGGAGGAGGACACAGAGCAAGGAACTGAAACTTATTTCTATCTGAGAGCAGTTACCCTAAGGCAGCCAGTGAAATACCAGGGACTTTAAGTCCTTCCTGGAATCTCTGCAAGAGAATTCAGTGCAAATGACAGCTTGTGGCACCCTGGACAGACAATTCAGCCACATTGGGCAGACTTCTGGCCAATAGCTCTGTGAGCTAATAAATGAATGGCTTTAAGCTACTAAAGTCATTATAATCTGTTGCAGCTGCTGTAGAAAAGCAATACCCCTTCCAGTTAAGGAGGTGGTAAGTGGAGACCCTTGTAAGCCACACCTGAAAGATATGCAGCATTGGAAAGAAAGCAGTGACACCTCATGTCAAAGCAATTCAGGGGGTGAGACCAATTCAGACAGGACAGGATAATGACTTAAAATTAAGTCATAGAGATAGTATATAAGATGGATCTAAAAACTGTCCATGAAATAGGGAGGCAGCATTTAGAGTGTTTGCAAGTAGAGGGTGAGAGAAGGGAATTTGAAAAAAGTCCCTAAGACTTCTAGTAACTGAATAAATATTGATAACAGAAACTGTGTTTTAGGGCATGTTATTTTTGGTGATTTTTTTCCTCTCACAAAGAACTATGAATTTAGGCCATATATTATTTTTACATTTATAATTATTTTGTTTTAGGATTTTTAAATGAGCATACATAGTATCAGCTTTCATTTTGACATTTAAAATGTATTTTTGTTAATTCCCCTACCAGCCTCTTCTACCTCCCTGACCCTTCCCTCCCCTTCCAACCCTTTCATACCCTCCTTTCTGATTTCATGTCATTGTGCCTTATTGCCCTCCACCACTTCCTCAACTCTCCTTCATCTCTCATGGTCTCCTGTGCATACATATCCACTTTACATATGACAGTGTATTCTATTTTTTTCTTTCTGAGTTACCTGGCTTAATGTAATATTTTCCAACATTATTCACTTTAGTGCAAATTTCATTTGTTTACCTCTAGCATTCCATTGTGTATAGGCACTACAATCTCATTACCCATTCATCTGTTGACGCACATATAGGAAGCATCCATTTTCCTGCAGTTGTGACTAATGCATCAGTAAACATGAGTGTGCAAGAATCTCTGTGGTCGGGCATGGGATCACTTTGGTATATGCCTGGAGTAGTATAGCTGAGTTATATGGCAGTTTCATTGTTTTTCTTATAAACATTATTTTACTAATCACTATTATTGTGTGTGCACAGGTGTTTGTGTTTTTCTTATAAACATTATTTTACTAATCACTATTATTGTGTGTGCACACGTGTTTATGATGTGCATGTGTGGGGACAGTGTTTATGGCATGGCACAAAGTTAGAGATCAGAGGACAATTTTGTAGATTAGGCTTTCTCCTTCCCATCTTTATGTGGGTTATCTGGGGATAGAATGCTAGGTTGTCAGGGGTTAAAATATTTTTTGCTGTGTGCTGGTGTGTGTGTGTGTGTGTGTGTGTGTGTGTGTGTGTGTGTGTGAGCACACGTGTGCATGCAGTCGAGAATGCCTAAAGTTGATTTTGGGAATCCTCTTTGGTTGTTCTTTTTTGGGGGGGGGGCATTTGAGACAGGGTTTCTCTGTGTAGCGTTGGACACTGTCCTGGCACTCGCTCTGTAGACCAGGCTGGCCTCGAACTCACAGAGATCCGCCTGCCTCTGCCTCCCGAATGCTGGGATTAAAGGCGTGCACCACCAATGCAAGGCCTTTGGTTGTTCTTTAACCTTGTTCTTTGAGGCAGGGTCTGTGTGTCAAACTCAGAACTCACAGATACATCTAGTTTCAGTAGCCAGATTTCTGTGGAACTCACTTCATAGGCTGGAATTGTAGCCGGCTGCCATACCCAGTACCTGACAATCAAGTGCCTCTAGGGATCTGAACTTTGGCTCTCTTGATTGCCAGCAATCACTTTAACTCTTGAGCCATCTCCCCAGCCCCAGTAATCTTTTATTTGAGATGCCTCCATACCATTTCCATAATGGCTACACTAGTTTAGATTCTTGCCAGCAGTGGATAAGGGTTGTTCTTCCCACATCCTCATCAGAGGAGAATGTGCTGAATCATTCAGATGCTGTTCCTGGGTAAGAAACTGAATG